GCTAGTGGGTAGCCTATGCTCCTTCACGAGGATTAACAGGTGTAAGTAAGTATTAAATTGTTCTACTCTATTAGGTACTAAATGCTAATTGAGACGTATAAATTTATCTTAAACTTGCCCCCAAATGCCCTGGTACGGCCGAGAGTGGGGAGAGTCACCTCTCCCTATCCAAATGCTTTCATATGGCCAGCGAATATATAGCCTCTGCCAGGGAAGTCCTACTCACTGACTTCTCGTGGCGGGGGTGTTGTTTACGAAAATGAGAGGACGAAAAGCGAATGTCCGGCGATTTAACCGGGTTGGTGGACACGGAGGGTCCACCTAGGGGAGTTGGAAAACCCTGATTCCAAACCAATGGGTTCCAGTATCCTGAGGGAACAAATGGCATATGAATCAACCGTTGATCACCGGCTACCATGGGACTGCATCTCCTCACGATGCTTCACTGTCTTGTAGATCAAACATTCAGGTCAAAGGCTCCGGGTGTGGCCCCCTACGAAAACCACCTGCTTCAGTCTGGGCACCTGGGCAGTATCACAGCCCTCACACAAATCGAATGAGATTTGTGAGGCGCATATTTATCTGGTGCTTCCTTGTACCAATATTTATGTGTTTAAATAAAATAATAAATAATCTTAAACTTAGTGATCACCAAACATATGATTTTCAAGTTGAATAAGCAGTAGAATTAAACTATAGATTCTATCAACATATATCTCACCAATACTGACTGAGTAACAATCATTTCTGTGGTTTATTACTTTCTAACTAAATTAATCGTGCATTAATTGACATCAGTCATCCCATCTCCATGGTTTGAAGGTTAGGCATTCATGTGAAACTTAGGATCCTACATTCCAATTTCATGTATGAGATCTTGAATTGTACAGTTATTTACAGTTTGATTTAATTTTTATATATAGTTGAAATTATGAATCAATTGAAGCTAGACCACCATGGAAAACATTAGACGATCGTTTCATCCTATTGTGGAACTATACAATGTTACAAATCAATTTCTAATTAATCACTTTATTTACTCTATCAAAGATCAGTAATCCTAGAATTACACAATAGATAGTTACTATATTTGGTAAGTACATTAAAAATCAAATCAATAATTATTAAGGCATAGAAATACTTAATTGATTATACATACTATCTATATATCTAATCAATGATAAAAAAGAATCTTTCACCCATGTTACCATCTAGAAAAAAAATTAGAAAAAAATTTAATTTTTCTTGTTGTTTTGTTACTATGGTCTGCAATTATTTTGTTGTTGTTCTTAATCATAATCAATCATATGATGTTGAAATATCTTGATTTATGGTTACTATTTATGGTAAGAAAAAAAAAAATAAAAACCCAGGTAACTAATATTTGATAAGATCATATATCTAATTTTGACAGGTATATAATTATCAGAAAGGGGGGTTTTAATAGAGATTTTTAGTAAATTTTTTATAGTTGAATTCATGAATTGATTGAAGCTAGAATACTATGGAAAACCTGGAAGCACTAGATGGCCGTTACGGCCCATTTTGATACTTGTCAGCAGTGCACATCCACAATGTTGCCTCGTGAGATTCAAATCCAAGACCTAACAACAAAACCCCATTCTGATAATAATCATACGCTCACTAGTGACTGAATTCAAAAGGTATTTCCTGAAGTTCTAGTGAGAAACAGTGACTAATGAAGTTCAACTGAGTCTGTTGTGAAACAGGAACTCACTGAAGACAATGGTGGATTTGTCGCTCAATTTCGTGTGTTAGATGAAATTAGACATTAACAACAGTGGATATAGGCCGGCTCAGTGGTCTGTCAGTTAAGTGGGTTGGCGCGAGACAAGTAGGTTCTGGGTTTGAATCTCGCGACGCGAGGTCGTGGATTTGCGCTGCTAAGGAGTCCCACAATAGGACGAAACGGCTGTCCAGTGCTTCCAGGTTTTCCTTGGTGGTCTAGCTTCAATTGACTAATGCTTTCAATTATTGTAAGCTTGTTAGTTGTGAGATTTATGATTGTTTATATATCGTACTCATTTATATTATTCTGACTGTGACGACATATTGTGGTTAGCAATTTTTCTAGCGAGGTTACTTTCTATGAGATGAGGTTTCTGACCTCATGCGTAGCTTTCCTACTCTATCCGGGCTTCGGACCAACAGTAACCTTAGAAGAGTTACAGGTGGAATTCACTAAACTGCATCACGACACAATCCCTAACTTGGAATCCTAAAGGGGATTGGAAAAGAAGAACACCAAAAACACAATACGTTAAGAATTGCAATTAGGCATCAAAACGATAAATAACAACTAACTAAAAAAGATTGATCGGGACATAGTTGAATGAAGAATGTTAGTAGTCAGTCTATTCTCCTCCATGAGGAATAATAGACATACGTAAGTTGATGGTTTCAGTGATGACTTATCTTCACTCAGCTGCTAATCAACAAATTTTGAATACTTATTCTCACTAATTTGACAGCTAATTCGTCAAAGATTCATGAATACATCATGCCTGTGACTTTCAAGCAACTGATCAACTGACTAATAATAAGCAGAGATGGATAGTGGCTAGCAGTGGAATCCAGGACGCGCGTTTCGTCCTATTTGGGACTCGTCAGCTGGATGTACCTGCATCTCAGAGTTGGTGTTCACTCTGGGACTAATAATAGTTATACATTTTGAAGATGGTAATTTCATCATAGTATCAGTTCATCAAGAATTTTAGCCAGACTTGATACCCTTCGGTTACTAAAACGATATAATGGTAATAAATGAAGAAAAATAACCCAGCTGAAAAGCTTGACTCCAAATAACCTTCATAAACATGTTGAACCAATAAGATGAAACACCACTGACGAGTCTTAAATGTGACGAAACAATTTACCTAAATTTCACTATTAACTACTAATCATCTATTAGTTTAAATATGACATATTTTAAAGGTGATAAGCTTGATTTATCTAGAAAGTTTATAAATTAAGTTTAATCTAATCGAAATTTTCACTTTTAATCTTTTACTAATTCAAGAAGACTACTTACAAGTATGTCAAAGCAAGGACAATTGAAGAACATATGAAACTCAAAAGAACTATTAACTATCTTCAAAGCGACAATCTTAAATGTAAACTTCATGACAGTCTTATTGTATGAAGCTGAAACGTGCAGAACTGTTAGATCCATCGTGAAGAAGGTACAAGTATTTATAAATAGTTGTCTAAGCAAAATAATCAACATTCACTTTCCGGTTAGCATCAGCAACAGCGTTTTATGAGAGAGAACAAACCAACTTCCAGCTGAAGAGAAAATCTGGAAAAGACGTTGAAAGTGGATAGGACATACATTAAGGAAATCACCAAACTGCATCACGAAGCAATCTCTAACTTGGAATCCTGAATGTAAGCGGAAAAGAGGAAGGTCAAAGAACACATTACGCCGGGAAATAGAAGCAGATATGAAAAGGATAAATATTAACTTGAAAGAACTGGAAATTAATTATTATTTATTCATTTAAACACATAAATATTGGTACAAGGAAGCACCCGATATATATGCGCCACAAAACTTTCATTTGATTTGTTTGAGGGCTGTGATACTGCCCAGGTACCCAAAGTGAAGCAGGTGGTTTCGTTATAGTACCACACACCCAGCCTTTGACTTGAAGGTCTAGTCGACAAAGCAGTGGAGCATCATAAGAAGATGCAATTCCATGGTAGCCGGTGACCAACGATTGATTCACACGTTATTTGTTCTCACAGGATACTGAAGTCAGCCTATATGCACCATTGGTTTGTAATCAAGGTTTCTCAACTTCTCTAGGTATACTCACCATGTCCACCAACCCTGTTAAAGCGTCAAACAGTCATTTTTCATTCTCTCAATTTCGTAAGCGACACCCCTGCCATGAGAAAGGCAGTGAGTAGGACTAGAAAAAATCGCCTAGGACAGAGTTGGATGGAAAAGACTAATGTGCGGCCTATACTCCCCCATGAGAGGTAATAGACTTAAGTAGGTAAGTAAGTATGTAAGTAAGTGAGTAAGTAAGTAAACAAGTAAGTAAGTAAGTAAGTGAGCAAGTAAGTAAACAAGTAAGTAAGTAAGTAAGTGAGCAAGTAAGTAAGTAAGTAAGTAAGTAAGTGAGCAAGTAAGTAAGTAAATAAACAAGTAAGTGAGTAAGTAAGTAAGTAAGTAAATAAACAAGTAATTGAGTAAGTAAGTAAGTAAGTAAATAAACAAATGAGTAAGTAAGCAAGTAAGTAAATAAACAAGTGAGTTAGTATGTAAGTAAGTGAGTAAGTAAGTAAGTAAGTAAGTAAGTAAGTAAATAAACAAGTGAGTAAGTAAGTAAGTAAGTAAATAAACAAGTAAGTGAGTAGGTAAGTAAGTAAGTAAGTAAGTAAATAAACAAGTAAGTGAGTAGGTAATTAAGTAAGTAAGCAAGTAAATAAACAAGTGAGTAAGTAAGTAAGTAAGTAAGTAAGTAAGTGAGCAAGTAAGTAAGTAAATAAACAAGTAAGTGAGTAAGTAATTAAGTAAGTAAGTAAGTAAATAAACAAGTGAGTAAGTAAGTGAGCAAGTAAGTAAGTAAGTAAATAAACAAGTAAGTGAGTAAGTAAGTAAATAAATAAACAAGTAAGTGAGTAAGTAAGTAAGTAAGTGAGCAAGTAAGTAAGCAAATAAACAAGTAAGAGAGTAAGTAAGTAAGTAAGTAAATAAACAAGTAGGTGAGTAAGTAAGTAAATAAACAAGTGAGTAAGTAAGTGAGCAAGCAAGTAAGTAAATAAACAAGTAAGTGAGTAAGTAAGTAAATAAACAAGTAAGTGAGTAAGTAAGTAAGTAAATAAACAAGTAGGTGAGTAAGTAAGTAAATAAACAAGTGAGTAAGTAAGTGAGCAAGTAAGTAAGTAAGTTACTGAGCACCTTCCAAACTATGAACAAACAATCATTGAACAAAATATCCTATCTGAATTTTTTTTTTATAATTTATTTTAACAATAAAATAATAAAATGAAAATCAATAAATAATCAATAAATAAATAAAAAACTTGGAATAAACAAACAAACAAACAAAAAAACAACAACAAAAAAAAACAAAAAAGAATGTGGGGGGGAAAAAAAAATTCAATAATATCATGATTTCATATTATTATCATATGATAATCTATCTAATATTGGATTTAAATTTCCATTATATTGTTGTATTAAACTACTTAAATACATATCACTTTGTTGAAATCCCATATGACGTAATCTTATAATAATAGCAGATATATTTATTTGTTCTTTATTATTGTTACTATGACTACTACTATTAGGTAATCTTGATAAATTCATACATGATGCTGTATATTGACTATTACGTTTTAAACCATAATGATTAGTTAATAGTTTTTGTTTATCATTTGATGATATACATGTAGATGATGATGATGATGATGATGATGGTGATCGTAATGATGATCGTAATGCGGATGATGATGATGATGATGATGATGGTAATGGTAATTTATTTAAATTCATTTTATTTTGTAAATATGATTGCTGATATGGTATATAAGTAGTAGTTGTAGCATATGCTTGATAATTTTGTGGTAATTTCATATAATTTAAATGATTATATGGTAATTGTAATGATGATAAAAATAAATCCATTGATGTGGAATTTAATAATGGTGCACTAGGTAAATTAGGATCATGATACAAATTTGGATCCGATGATGATGATGATGATTGATTATTGATTATTGATTTTTTATTAGTATCTAAGTCATTATGATTATTAATATCTAATTTTTCTAATGTTTCTGGTAAATCAGGTAATTGTAATTCATTGATTGTTTTTTTTACTTTTGGGATATGGTTAAATTGTTGTTTCATTAGTTCACAACCATTAGTTGCTATGTAAATTCTTATAGGTTTATTATTATCATTAGATTCGGTTAAAGTTTCTATCGCATCATGAAGATCTTCCGTTGAAATAATACGACAAAAATCTTCACCATCTAACAACGACAGTTTAAAAAAAAACAAGTTAAGTAAGAAGGGGGAGTCAACTGAAGCTAGACCATCATGGAAAACTATTATAAAAGCTTTAAGGTATTTGATAGCAATAAGCAAAAGATGGATAGTGGCTAATAATATGCTTCATCTTATTTGGAACTTGTCAGTTGGATGTACTTGTATCTTAGTGTTGATGTTTACTTGACACTCGAATACAGTACCGCCCACTTCAAGCTGAAGTGTGTTATTCACTTAGCTGCTGAAACTAATCAATAGAAGTCTGTAATGCTATTGGAAAGATTCAAACAAACAATACAAAAATGTATTTGACAGTTTTTTCATCCTCGTATGAGACTTCTGAAGAATGTAGATCCATCATTCTGTCACAGAAAATCCAAGATAGGATATTTCTTCTAGCATTCAAACGTTTAATCTTTAAGCCACTGAATCACACACTGACAGTGACGATTTCAATAAGACATGTATTATGTATACATATGTGTTTTTGTATTGTTACTAGTAGGGGAATCCAACAAATGTACTTCATTCTACTCGATAATCATCAATCAGATGCACCTCCATCTCAGTTTTGATTTTAACACCGCCAAACAAATGCAATACTTTTCGCTCTATCCATTGACATACTGGAATCCAGTAACAAATCACTTGTACCATGTTTATACTATGAAGGTCATTAGTATGAAGTTCCGCATCCTACCTGTACACAATCACTCAATTCAGCTATTTTCTATAAACAATCACAGTTCGAACCATCATTTATAATGAGATATCTGATGTTAACTAATCACTGGATTCTGAACTCAACTTCATGTATACTTGTGAATGGTTACTGTTCAGATGGGATTCATTTACTCGTGAATGCATTATACTCCCACTCTATTCTGCAAGGATTGTTCTAATCAATTTAATCCATTAAGTTAATTGCGAATAGATATTGTAAGTTATGTTCATAACGGAAGTGAGAGATAATGATTTCACAGTTTTTCCATCACTGACTGGTGTTAGTTGTCATACCATTTGAAATCCGGAAGCCCTGGATATAGCTGTTTATCCCTAATATGAGACTCCTGAGAAGTGAGCATTAACGATTCTACGATCTCAGGTAAAGATACTTGATCTCTAGATTACTGACCTGGAATTCATTATTATGTATGTATAACTGCAGTCAATGAATTCTCGATAATGTAGGTACCATCCACCGTTGTCTTCCGTGAGTAGCTTCCTGTTTTATACTCCGACGCATCAGTCTACAGTTTAAACATTCGCAAATGACACTGGAGATTCTACATTCGTGAATGCATCATGATGCGAAGTTTCTTATAAGGATGAAGTAGTTGGGTAGAATAGAAAGGGAAATAGAAAGTAATTTTGAATGGGGATAATCATACAGAATGTGAAAGACAAATGATGGAAATGTGCAAATGCAACCTTGTACAACTGAGTGTCCATCTATTACAGTAGAACTGAACAAACATCCAAGATTTTACTGTTCAGTCCTTCTATGAGGTCAGTAATACATCACAAGATGTAAGATATTCCTAGATAGAGGCGTTACGTAGAATACACTAAACAACGTTTAGTGTATGCTACAGTAACAAACTAAGCCTTCATACATTTACAGAAAATAGAACTTATAACTCAATGTATCCATGAATTTTATCCTAGCTGTAGCTCGTCAGCTATCAGGACTCAGTAGCTATGTGGATATTACAATAGTATTCAAAACAAATAAAACAGGGTTCATGTCATAGAGTGAATTTATGGGTTGATCCAATCATCGGACATGATTAACAGACAGATTGAATATACTTCTTTTTAATTCATAAGTTTAGTTCTTTTTGGAGTTGATTCTAAATGCTTCAACTATGTTATCACGCATCGTTTATTTTACTATAGTGAGAAAGGCTAAAGTAAGGAATATATATTTTGTAACTCCTTAACTCTACCATACCGATACATATTCACATGAGCACAAGGATAAGACTTTATGAATACAATTTAAGTAAATAGCTCAACGAACCCCACCTATAGCCCTTCCGGAGCTACTACCCGTCCCAAACCCGGATAAACGAGAAGGGTTGAGCATGGGGTTTGCGACCCCATCCCGTAAAAAACCAGCTCGCTAAAAAAACGCTAACCAGAAAAAAATTTGTTCAAACCATTTAAACTCTGTCCTGAAAGTCAGAAGCTCCACATTTAGAATAGTTATGACGCCTCATCGTGAAATCCGAGTTCCTTCGGAAGCCACGAGGCTGATACCCCTTCTGTCAACCAGAGAAACCATTTATCTAGGTACACAGAATGCTCGTACAATGTGAGAGACCTGGAAAGTCACCGAAATTACTGCGAAAATGAAGAGATACAACCTGGAAGTTCTTGTAATCAGTGAAACATAGTGGACGTAGGTTGAACAACTACAACTAGCTTCAGAAGAGCTTCTGTTATATTCCGATCATGAAGAAGAATATGCCCCACATGCACAAGAAATCGCATAAGATAAAGTTATGGGATAAGAATCTCATAGATCATGGATTATCAAAGCTTCCTTTACAACAATAAAAAAGGATATTACAATGAATACAATGAAATAGTTTCATCAAGGTTAGAGGCGTGGTTGGTCGCAGTGGTCACAAAGAATTGCATTGATGTTGTCTAAACAAACACAAAACGAACTTATAGAATGAGAATCTAATAGTTCAAAGATCATCAAAGCTTCCTTCAAAGACTATAAAAGTGGGTAATACAATGAATATAATGAAATAGTTCCACGAAAGTGAGAGGATGGGGGTAGCAGTGATCAACAAGAAATTGCGATGATGCTATCTAAACAAACTTTTGGGTTGGGAATCTTATAGATAAAGGATTATTAAAGCCTTCTTCAAAAAGATAAAAAAGAATCTTACAATGCATGCAATGAAATAGTTCTATTAAAGTAAGAAGGGTGGTGATAGTGTTCACAATGAATTTCATGAATGTTATCTAAACAAGCATAAAACGCACTTATAGGATAAAAATCTCATAAACCAAGGATTATCAAATCTTCCTTCATAATAATAAGAAAGAAGGTATTACAATGAATATAATAAAATAGTTCGACTAAGGTTAAAGAGGGGAGAGGGGGGAGTGACGGTAGCCTTGTTGCTATCTAAACAAGTATAAAATGCACTTTTAAGATGAGAATCTCATGAATCAAGAATCATTACAGTCTCATTAAAAACAACAAATAAAAGGTAATACAATGAATACAATGAAATAGTTTCAGTAAAGTGAGAGAGGGGGGTGGAGGGTGGCGGTTGTTATAGCAACTAGTACATATATATATATATACTTCATTCTCATATAAAAACTGATCAACTTACCATACCATAATATTTGATAATCATCAATTAAATCATAATCATTATGATTAGGATTACAATAATTTAAATTATTAATTATAGTTTTTAATTTCTCATTTAATTGATCATAAGTTATAGTCTGATTAGGATCTTTAATAAACCAACGAAATATATTGTCAACTTTTTTATGATGATATGTGGTTTGAATAGTAATTTTAAATAGAGGCATTTGATATGTAGATGATTAGGATTATGTTTGTTTTTCTTTATTTTTTTTCTTTTCTCTATTTTTTTCCTTTTTTCCTTTCTGTTCTTTCTCTCTTTTTGCTTTCCTCTCTTTCTTTTTTCTCTCTTTTCTTATTCTTTTTTCTTTCCTCTTTCCTCTTTTCTTACTTTTCTGGCTTTATTCTTTTTTCTGCTTTCTCTCTTTTTTCTTTTTTTCTTTTCTTTCTTTTCTTTCCTTTTTTTCTTTTCTTTATTCTATCTCTTCAAGTTTCCCCCTAATATTTCGTAACTCCCCCACAGTATATACAATGGAATACTTTTAATTATACATATACATATATATATATATACATAGACTCATATAATCACTAAAGGAATATCCTAATTAAATTTTTTTTCAAAATAATAATTTAACATGGCAACAGTAGGTAACACTTTATGTAACCGATATATATATATATATAGATAGATAGATAGATAGATTTCATTTACCACTATTTTGTATCCGTTCTATAATCAATATTTACCCCTACTACTACTACTACTACCACTATTACTACTAATAGTAATACTAATGCTACTAATAATAACACCAATACTACTACTAATAATAATAATACAGATAGTAGTAACACTCATAGTAATAATACTACTGCTAATGCAACCACTACTAATACTAACACTAATACTACTTCTACTACTACTACTACTACTACTACTTAACATCATATGATTTACAAAGAATCCATTACATATCAACAATCTATAGTTAACATGGATACTATTTGCATTAGCTCTATAATCAATACTTACTACTACTACTACTACTACTAATAGTAATACTAATACTACTGATAGTAGTGCTCATACGAATACTACTACTAATAGTAATACTGTTAATACCACTACTACTACTAACACTAATAATACTACTAGTACTATAACTACAACTTAATATCATATGATTTACATAGAGTCAATTACATATTAACAATATGAAATCAAGATGGATACGACATGAATTAATACATTGTATAGTACAATATAATACAAAGTATAATACATGGGTATATATATATGACAATCAATTTGACATGACTACAACTTATGTATTATGGCATAATGGCATAAATTAATGACATAGTTACTAGATTAGAAGACCAAAAAAGGTAGGTATTATGTGGGAGTATCCATTCTTGTCTGAATTTAGATTTCTTTTTTTTTAAAAAAAACACATTTTTACTACTTAAAATAGTAACTAAGTGCATTCAGTAGTTTTTTTCTTCTTATCATTGAAAAAGTGTAAAATCATATGTTATTTCAATTCACTTGGTTATATTTGCTTGTATCTTCATGCATTCCATTAGTAGGTGTAGTATGGTGTATTTATATTCATATATAATTAGTATATGGTGATGGTTATATATAGAATGTATTCTGGTAGAAGATTGATAAGGAAAGAATTGAAATAAAGCTCAATTGGTAGGAAAATGTATGAACAATGAAATCAGAGAAGATGAACTGATGATATTTTACAGAAGAAACAGTGAAGATTGAGATAATTGATCGTTATTTTGCAAATATATTCGACTGTCCCTACTGGTGTTCTTGATCATTACAGTAGGTACTATTCATCTTTGGTAAGCAGAGATGGATAGTGGCTAGCAGTGGAATCCAGGACGCACGTTTCGTCCTATTTGGGACTGGTCAGTTGGATGTAGCTGCATCTCGGAATTGATGTTCACTGTGGGACTGCAACCCAGTACCGTTCGCTTCAAACGCTATCACGTTATCCACTCGGCCACTGATCCACCTTTGTTTATTATACTTGTGATTAATGGTAATATCGAAGTAGTCTGTATAGAATGTGTATATTGCTAACAAGAGATTGATCAATTGGAGTTCTGAAACAGTAATGGGAAGATATAAATAAGTAATACCAAGTGAATTTAAAACTTTACTAGATTGTATAATCAAGTGACTATCATGGTTCAGTAGCTAAGTGTACCACACAAGAGTATATGAAGCGAACTGTACTTGGTTCGAGTTACAATGTGAACATCAAATGCATTCCACTACTAGCTACTATAAATTTTTGTTTCGAATAATTGTAATTTAAGGTAATATCGAAGTAGTCTGTATAGGATGTATCTATTTCCAAGAAGAGATTGATCAATTGTAGTCTTTAACAACAATTGGGAGATATAAGATTTCAGTCTCACGCATAAGATAGTAGCTGTGCAATGTTGAGTAGTCTCAAATTAGGACGAAACAGTCATCTAATACTTCCACAAGGGGGCATCAGATATATATGCCAACCCAAAAACATTTCATTTCATTTAATTGTGTGAGGGTTATGATACTGAATGGGTGCACAGACCGAATCAGGTAGTTTTCTCAGAGGGCGACAGCCCGAGCTTTTGATCCAAAGGTCTGATCCACAAGGCAGTAGAGCACCGTGAGGAGATGCAGTCCCATTGTAGTCGGTGACCAACTATTGATTCAGACGCCATTTGTTCCCTCAGGACGCTGGAGTTTATGTGCACTATTGGTTTTTCAACTCCCTAGATGGACCTACCGTATCCAAAGCACGATACATTCGCTTTTCGTCCTCACAATTTCGTAACCAACAACCATGGTGCAAGAAGTCAATGAGTAGGACTTACCTGGCAGAGAATGTATACATGTGACCCTGTGATATCATATTAAGAGAGCGTGCCCTCCTCTTTCTCGGCCGTACCAGGGAATTCGGCGGCAACAATCACTACAAATCCCCTCATTCTGTAATTAATATACTCTAAAACGATGAAATGAACTATTTACCTCAAAATAGATTAAATAAACACAATTAAGACTTTTCCCAAGAAAACACAAATAGTCAGTAACTGATTAATTTCTTTTGATTATCCAACTGAACAACAAACTAATTGACTTAGTACTGTTTGTTTGTATCTTCACAGTAATGTTTAGGACTGCAATTGATCAGTCTCTTATTGAACATACTGTGAATATTGCCTTGATATAGACTTAATTCACAAGCATTAGAAGCAAAGATGGATAATGGCTAGCAGTGAAATCCAGTTTGACGAGCGTTTCGTCCTATTTGGGACTTATCAACTGGATCTGAGTTGGTATTCACTCCAAGACTCGAACCCAGTATTTTTCACTTCAAATGTAATCACATACACATTTAGCTATTGAGTCTTGATAGCAACTCGCTTCCAATGCTAGCAACTATCCATCTTTGTTTATAATTCAATTTATTGATTAATTTCATCAAACTAATCAATGTTGTTGTCAAGATTGTCATATATATTATTTTCTCTCTTGGAAACGATAAAAGATATTATTGATTTATTTTGATCATTTTCTTTTTTGTTGTTGTCAAGGGCTCTATTATGATTTATGGTAATAAACTTGAAAAGGTTGGTTAAATTCTTATTGGTTAATGGAAAACAAACAAGGTTTGATGTATATTTATCAATTTATAATTCATGTGTATTCAGTATTCAGTGTTTAAGTTTTCGGTATAAAATTTATTTTCCGACAATAAGATGAAGTGGCAATCAGAACTCAGTGGCCAAGTGGATAACGCGATGGCGTTTGAAGCGAGGGTACTGGGTTCGAGTCCCAGAGTGAACATTAACTCTGAAATGCGGGTATATCCAGCTGATGAGTCCCAAATAGAACGAAACGCGCGTACTGGATCTCACTGCTAGCCACTATCCATCTCTGCTAACCATGCTTGTGAATTAAGGCAATATCAAGGCAATACGCACAGTATGCACATATGCCAATTAGAGACTGACCAGTTGCAGTCCTAACAAAATCGATGGGAAGATTCAAACAAACAACACCAAGTGAATTTAAATATCACGTTTATTTACTGATTGAATAAGTCCTTCTATGGTGTATGTTTGTGTGTGCTACTTATATTGACAAATATAAGTAGTATATAACAATAATCAATAATGGAAAACCTGAAAGAAAAGGATTAGGAAGATCGAATAGAAGAGAATGGGAATAGAAATGAAGGAGCAATCAATTCTGAGACAATTACTGAATATTTCGCAAATCAATAATCATAATTATGGTTCTTACATTTTGTGAAATTGATCCGTAATCTTATGTTACAATAAACTTTGTTGTCACAATTGATTAATCACTGGGTGGTGATCAATGTCTTACGTGTCAAGTTCGTCTTAGTACTGATCGAATGCTATCGATCAAGTTGCAATGTGGTCAGTAGTCTAGCTGTCTCGACACTGCGTGTACTATATTGAGATAGGATGGTGGTTGGAGGTGGTCAACAGGAAACCCTGGACTCGGGTTTCGTGCTACTTGGCACTCGTCAGCAATGTGTACATGTAATCTTAAGGGTCGGTCGTGGCACGAATAGCTCAGTGGTAACGCCTCTGACTGTGAAGGTGAGTAACACGAGGTCAAATCTGTCAGGGAGCACCAGTTCACTTAAGATTACAAGTACACATTGCTGACGAGTGCCAAGTAGCACGAAATCCCTGTCCAAGGTTTCCTGTTGACCAATTCCAACCACCATCTTATCTAAACTTTGTTGTGCTCACCTGTATTATTGTTCATTATACTTCATCTAAGAATATAATTTTCATTGAGGATTTCATTTCAAACTTTTTTTCAACTGTTTTATCTAGTTAGTGAGTTGAGGTGAGTTACATTTGCGAGTTAGATTGTGATAAACGAGAACACCAGATGTATTTCAACAGAAAAATACAGAACACTAAGATGGCATCCAATGGTAATAATATCTAACCTCAGTCGATCCATGATCTTACACAACCTTTCATCCATTGTCTGAGGCAGATAACTGTCTCCACTCGACATAGATTGGAATCCACGGATCATGGATTCCCACTAGAACTTCAGGAAATCCATCTTGAAGCTAGTCAACAGTAAGTTGACTCAATGGTTTATAGGTTGAGTGCTCACACGTATGGCCGGTGGTCTTAGATTCGAGTACTGCATATGAGACCGTGCATACACATTGATGATGTGTCCCATACTAGGATGAAACGTTCATCCAGTGCTTCCAGGTTTTCAATGGTAATCTAGCTTAGATGAATTCATCATGAACTCAACTATTAAAATTGCTGCAATCACCAAACTCATAGAATCAATAAACTACATACAATACATGGTATACAGTTTATAATACATCTGGTTTTACAAACGTTTTTCTTTTTTTTTTTAAAGTTATACAAACACTTTAGATTTATTTACAATTACAAAGATTATTACCACCCGGATTGCAACTAGTAATGGAATCCATGAAGCGTGTTTCATTTCTAGTTACCTGAATCTTTTTGTTTATGTTAACACAGGAATTCAATTCAACACCTAATGCGGTGTATGTTACTGATATCGATAGATATAAGTAGTATGTTTCATCAATAGAAAGTGGAATGCCTGATGATAGAAGGTTAAAAAGATCGAAGAGAAGAAAACGG